TTCTTTCTTTCTTTCTTTCTTTCTTTCTTTCTTTCTTTCTTTCTTTCTTTCTTTCTACCCTGTTTCACCAAAAATACGGCCTCCCCCAATAAGAAGTCCCAGCATGTTTTATAGGCATGAAATGAAATTAAACCCCTCCCCACAAATTAAGGCCTATATTAAAACATGCGAAATGGGGGGGAATGGTGGGGGGGGGCTTGCCGTTAGGAAGTACTTTTGTTGCACACCCGGATATGGTGCTGCCTGCGTTGACCCCAATATGAAGTGTCCCACCAATGCCAAGGTCAACATCCAAGCCGTCACCGCCTGCCCGAAGATGCAGGGGGGGGGGAAATTAAGTCACCCCCAAAAGACGGCCTAGTCATTTTTTTGGGGATCAAAAAAAAAAAAAAAGACCTGGCCTTATTATATGAGAAACACGGTATCTATCTATCTTTAAAAGCGAAATACCATCACGCATCATCACAAAATCTCCATAATCATAAAGCCTACAAACTTGAAATTTGGCACATATGTTCCTCTTGGCTTCTAGGTGCTCACTAAGAAAGGATTTTTTGAAATGACCATCACAGCATTAGTATTTTGTATATTATTATTAACATGCTCTGATGCTAAGGAGTTCTACTCCCCCCTCCCCCCTGAAAAGAAATCTGTTCCAAATGCAAAACAAGCAGAGGAGAGGAGGTTCCATTTCAGTTTTAGTTTCACAACACCAAGCAGCTTTAGTACAGAAGAGTCCAGGTTCCTTGCTGTCTCCTGCTTGCTCACACAGCAAATTTTGTTTCAGTTTCCAAACAGCCCTCAACTCTCTCACACACTGACAGGATGCTAATACTGACGAATGCTAGTAGATAGAGGCAGAATTTCCCCCCCTTATTTTCCTCCCCCAAAACTAAGCCTGGCCACATAGCTTTGTAGTGAAGCATGGGTATCGAGCTAGTGGTTAACATAGTTAACTATTAATAGTTAATATTAAGCCATCTCACTACTACAGAATTGTAGCTAATTTTAAGCTCTATGATTTGTCCATTTTGTTTTATTTCCAGTTAAAAAAACAGAAACATATCTGCCTTATCCTTCCTCTGCAAGCCAAGGTGTTGCCTGCCCAGATTCCTGGATTGGATACCTAGGGAAGTGTTTCTATGTATCAAAAGAAGAAAGGAATTGGTCTCTCAGTTTAAGCATCTGTTCTTCATTTAATGCCTCCTTGGCTGTGATTGATTCTCAGAAGGAATTGGTAAGGAATAAGGAGACATCATGATTAATTGCATAATTGTCCTAGTATTCACAAATATAAAAACCAGTCACTTTACATTTTGTTATATTTATTATCAATATACCATAAAAACTCCTGTGCTAATCTGGTTGTCTGTACCCCTCAAGTATTATACTATTAACAATTTTTTTAGAATCGAGGTATTCAAAATCTGGTAACTTAAGGATTTGTAAATATTTCAGGAACCATTTCTCCTTTGGAATTGAAATTTCTACAATGTTCAAACCAGTTTTATTCACAGTTATGGCTTTTGCAACATCCCTGCATTCACATGATTGTGATTCCTGGTGTCCCTGCCAAGTTCCCACAAGCAAGGTCAATGAGCAAGCCAGCAGAAAGATGGAAGTTGCTCCAACTACCACTGCTTTTTTGCCTACCCATAAGTCATTCTAATTAATCTGTTTAGTTAAGTGTACATTGACTTATTATTGAACATTTGTCATCACAATTATTTTATTATTTATGATAGGCACTCATCTTAGATGGGATTATCCAGCATTGTGTAAAAATATGTGCTCAGCCTAAAATTTAATGTTTGTTCTGATCACATCAGACTGCACTAACTTTCTTTCAAAAAATGACCCAACGGGTCACAGGTTTGTCAAGTTATTTATTATTCTCTGTTCACAACAATGTGAAACCACAGCTGCTGGTGTTCGCCTTCATATGCATCAAATTCTTCCCAAGAATCTAGGAAGTTGTAATGTATCAGTTATATGTGTAGATCCAAAAAGTATAGCCTTTTATAATTGACAGATGGAAATTTTGTCAATGTGCAGATTTTCTAAGTGTTCTCCAAGATTTCTTAGTATGGCAGTCAGGGTGCTGATAGTCACTGGGACCACTACAGCTGATTTACACCATCTTTCATTTTGATTTTCATATGTTGATTTTCATACATTCTGATCTTCTCCAATTCCTTGTCTTTTATTCTACTACTATGGTATTGCCACATCAATTATCCGCACTTTCTTTTTTTCAACCACAGTTAACTTGGATGTGTTATATGCCAAGACTTTGTCAGTTTGTATTGGGAAACCTCACAATATTTTAATCTGCTCATTTTCAACTTCTTTTTGAACTCTGTGTTCCCACCAATTTTCACTACTGGCACACGATTATTTTTACAGATGGCCCAGTGAATCATTCAGCAATAGTATTGTCCCATTGTTTATAATTTACTTGTGTAATTTTCTTGCACGAGTCGAGTATCCCGATTTATGGTTACTGTAGTACAGGCAGTGGTGGGCTGCTGCTGGTTTAGACTGGTTCTAGTGAGCCGGTAGTTCTGACCATCAGCTGGCCCCACCCACCCTCACCCGCCCTATCTGGTCCTATATCTCTTCATTTCTGGCTCAGTTGATTTGCGTGGCAGAGTTTCCCGTGCCTTACTTGTTCTACTCACCGCTGATTCTGGAGAAGGTAAACATTTTAGCTTGGAACTGCTGTTTTAGATCAGTGGTTGCCAACTGGTGGGCAGAAAATGTTGGTGGTCTGCAGAGAGATGTCACCCGCAGAGAACCCCCCAAAGCAATTAATCCAGGCTGTGCCGGAACACAAGGCTGCGCCACCCACATGGTCCGCAGGACCCCTCCCCACCCACTCACTTCTTACCTGGAAAACTTGCCTGCTAAGCGGCTATTTCCCCCCCCCCCCAACCATCAGCTGTTCTGCTGTGCCGGGAAATTTAGATTAACTTGAAAACAGGAAACAGTTGGATTTTTTGATTTCTAGCTTATCTATAGATCTTCGGCTCTGCTTTTAAGCAGAGCTGAACCTCCCTTAGGACTGAAGGTTCTATTATTCAATTGCAGACCCAGATAGCCAATGGCAGAAACACAGATCTCTAAGTGAATCTGTGATTCTGTGATCAACTCAATATGCCTGCCTGCTTTGCCTAATTTTGGGTAAAAGTTGCTCTTTTTTAAATAAATGTTTCCATACATGGTGTGCTGTGAGTTAATTTTGTGAGTTTGCTTGCAAGCAAATTTTATATGACAGACTCAGATAGCCAATAGCAGAAACACAGATCTGTAAGTGAATCTGTGATTCTGTGAGCAACTCAATCTGCCTGCCTGCTTTGCCTGATTTTGGGAAAAATTTGCTCTTTTTTTATAAAAAAATTCAATATTTACATAAATATTTATAATATTTACATACAATGCATGGCCAGTCAGTCACATGACCAACCACACCCACAAATTAGGCCACACCCAAGAACCAGTTGTTAGAAATTTGAATCCCAGCCCTGCCTCCATGTGTTTGTGTGTGTGTGTGTGTGTATGAGAGAGGGAGGTTAGATCAGATCTCTCTCTCTCTCTCTCTCTCTCCCTCTCCCTCTCCCTCTCCCTCTCCCTCTCTCTCTCTCTCTCCAAGGTCAGCAAGCCACCATCAGTCAAAATTCATATTAGTGATAATATAATTAAAATTATGAGTTTAGTGGTCCCTGAGATCCTAAAGGTTGGTGACCCCTGCTTTAGATAATGTGTGCAAGTGCGCACACAAAGTGCACCCTCATAGAACCGGTTGTTACATTATCTGAAGCCCACCACTGAGTACAGGTAGTCCTTGACTTATAACAGTTTATTTAGTGACCATTCAAAGTTACAATGGCACTGAAAAAAGTGACTTATGAACAGGAGTGGTATTCAAATTTCTTAACAACCGGTTCTGTTGGCGTGGCCTAATTTGTGGGTATGGCTTGGTGGTCATGTGACTGGGTGGGCATGGCTTGCTGACTGGATGTGGCTTGATAGTCACGGGACTGGCTGGGTGTGGTTTGTATGTAAATATGGTAAATATTTATGTAAATGTTTAATTTTTTATTAAAAAAGAGCAACTTTAACCAAAAGCAGGCAGGCAGATTGAGTTGCTCACAGAATCACAGATTCACTTAGAGATCGATCTATCTGCAATCTGCTACCTGAGTCTGCACTAAAAAATAAAAGTTTCAGTCCTAAGGCAGCCTCAGCTCTGCTTTTAGATTAGCTAAAAAGCAAGAAATTCAACTATTTCCTGCTTTCTAGTTAATCTAAATCTCCTGGCACAGCAGAACAGCTGAAGGTTGGGAAAAGAAAAAAAAATAGCAACTTAGCAGGTAAATTTCATGGCACGCATGCCAGGTAAGGAGTGGTTGGGTGAGGAGGCAAGGGGCAGGACCAGCCAATGGTGTAATTTGCCGGTTCTACGAACCGGGCAGAATCATAACAACCAGTTCTATAGAACCGGTCCAACCAGGTAGAATCCCACCCCTGCTTATGACCATTTTTCATACTTATGACCACTGCAGCATCTCCATAATCAAAATCCAGATGCTTGACAACTGGTTCTTATTTATGACGGTTGCAGTGTCCTGAGGTTATGTGATCAGCTTTTGCAAAACTTCTGACAAGCAAAGTCAATAGGGGAAGCCGGATTCATTTAACAATCTCTTACATCTTTTATTATTGGGGTAGTGTCATCAGCATAGCATAGGTGATTGATGCTTCTTCAATTATTAAACCAGACTCCTCCTCTTCCAATTCAGCTTTCCTTGTGCCAGGCTTAAATTTTGGACATTTTATATCAAGATTCTGCTTTCTTAAATCTATAGATCTGGGTAAGGTGAAAGAAAAGAAAAAAAAGAGGATGATCAGCAGCAAATATTGGTATGATCAAAATCAAGACATATGATCAATTATAGCCTCAAGTGGTCCACCATTGGAAAATCTGAAAGACCAGAGAGAAGGACAATCTAAATGATCAGTAAGAGTGAATGCACATAAAATCAATAAATAAATTATCTACATAAAAGTTGCCATAAACATGTTTGTTATCTTGATGAGTTATTAATATTAATTAATACTTGAGGGGTATTACGATAAGATAAATTCATATATTCCTGCTGAATCCTATGCAATGTGTTTAAATTTGATTTAAATTTAAATACAGTTGCATATGCATCATTGCAGTAGACAGTTTAATTTAACAGACTTCCTTTTAGTGGACTTTGGATGCAAAAGGCCCCAGTTTTGGCTAGAAATCTCCCTAAAATAATGGACAATCCTGCAGTATCTGAAATAGTTCTGACAAGACAGTTACATTACATTAATTTTACCTTAATTATATGGTTTTGTACAAATGAAATAATTTGATACAAATAATGTATTTGGCATTCAAAAGACACTCAATAGACTTCTATCCCAATTAGTCTGCTGAATGGGGATTTTATTACATATTATTTTCCTTCTAGGATTTTTGGGTAGAAATTCTCAATCCGCTTCATTATTGGTTTGGTCTCTCAAGAGAGGTTAACCAGACTTGGAAGTGGTCCAATGGCACAGAGTCTAAAATTCTGTAAGTATGTTTTATTTGTTTATGGGACTTATAGACCTACTTACCCTTTCAAAGTATTTATAGATATTACATTTCCGCTTTAGTGGCTGAAAGAATAATAAGAATTGAGATAATTTTTGGCTAAGCTTCTCTCCCCAACATATAAAACATAGAAAGGGGAGGAAAATAGAAGAAAATTGTTCAAGCAATAGTATGTAATATTTGGTGGTCCCTGCGCTGCTGGCCAGCTGATATGGATTGAGAAGTTCAGGATGGATAAGTGATATACAACCTCCAAGAACAGGTGTGTCTGGTGTTAATTTTTATATTTTTATATGTAGGGAGGAAGAGCTCAGTTGGTCATAAAATTGGAGTTTGCTGTTTTCCCTGAAAGGTATTATCTCTAAGGCAGGTTGTCATGCTTCTGACTAACAAACCCAAGCAAGCAAACAAGCCTGAGACGATCTGATCTCTATATGCTAAACTTTACTGAGTACATCATATCAGCACAGATTGAAGCAAAACCAACTCTAACTAGTTCCAGCGGTTTTCACACAATTAAAGAACAGAATCTCCCTTCCCCATTAGTGCAGCTCACGTTGTCCAATTAACTAGGTATTGTTATGTAAAAACTGTCCGGGTCTTGGTCACACATCTGGTTAGACACCCTTGGTTCCCACGGGACAATTTCTTGTTACCGTCTGGAACTGACACTCCACAGGTGGATCTCCCTCCCCCCTGACTCTGTCGCAACTGAAAAGTGGCAATGGGTGCAATCAACAAAATCTTGCTTTGAAATGGACAGTCGGACCCCACTAGTGCGTGGAAGGTCCCTGGATGTGGCTGGGGCTTTTGAACTTGCTTTAGGAGCTGGTACCAGGCACACAGCTGCTCGGTGACCTTCCTGGCCGCATCGGAAACACAAACTGATCCCGCTCCTCAGAGGCTCACGGGTGGGTGGATTGATGCTGGCGCCAGCAGCAGTTTCCTTCCTGGTGGGTTCTGTTCCTGACTCCTCTTTGGCTGGTTCTCGTTCCTCCTCGCCTGGCTCCCTGCAATCCTGTGGTACTCTCGGATGTACTCCCTCACCAGTTGGTTCTCTTCCCTGATAGTCCGCATTTCTGACTTGGTCTGCCGGACTTGTCATCTTCAAATTTGGCCCTGAGCTGAGCCAGGAACTCGTCCACGTCCCCAAGCTCTGGGGCTCCTTCATTGTGGAGGCTTATCACCCAGTTGGTGGCCTTCCTCTCGAGACTTGCGACTAGGGCATTCACCATGGTCACTTCATCATGGTAAACCAAGGTATATTGGTCCATGTGCACCCACACTTGATTAAGGAAGGTTATCTTACCTGGGCTCCTGTCAAAGATAGTGTCAATCCTGATGCTGGCTGGATGGTAGCCATTTTCTTTTTTTTTTCTACTGGACTTTTATGTGGAGCTTCAGGACTGACACAGTCTGGAGATAATGGATAAGGAGTGGGGTGCAGAGATAGTGGAACATTATAACCAAAACAACATTCTTTGCCCTGGGAACCAAGGGACATTTGTGCAGATGGCTGGCAGGTGGAGACTGAGGTCACCCAATGACTTGAGCTGTGTGCTGATTGGATCATGGGATTGATGCCTTGTGGGGGGAAGAGACAAAGTTTTGCATTCAATTAGGGGTGAAAACTGGTGGGAATTTTAGAGCCTGTTATCACCAGCACTGTGCCAATATGACATACTCTAATAAATTGTTCTTTGGGAAACTTTCAAGCCCCTGAGTCCTTTCGTTTGGGGTGTCTTAGTTAGAACCCTGACAGGTGGATTTTATTGGCGGAGGGTCCAGTGGGGGTTGAGATCACCTAGGACCCAGCCAGGTCCAGGGGGGGTAGGGCCAGGTTTCTGGTCCCGGTCCCAGTGACTGGGGTGGCGGCTTCAAGAGGGCTGATGGCTCAAGCAGTCCCACACTTCTCCTTCCTGAGCCTATGCCTGGGCAGGGCTGCACCCCACTGTTGAGGGCTAGTTGCTCCACCTGTGGCCACTGGACTTGGCCCACAACATGGCAGGGACGATCAGGCTGGTAGGGCCTCCACTTCAACAAGTAGCTCCATCTTCCACGCTGGCTCAGCTTTGCGCAAATACTGAGTGAGGTACGGACTGGAGGTTGGAGATTATGTTTATGCCATTTGCGGCTGCTCAGCAATTCCAAGCTAGGCCCTCAATTGACTCCTCTCTCCAGCCTAGCTAGCAATTCCCCAACGTTGATCCAATGCATTCTAGGGGCACAGTCTTGGCTGAAGTCTAATATATTTTTTAAGCTGGTAATATTCTTGGAAGTATTATTCCTGCAATACTAATTTCTACCCTCAGTTATCACTGCCATGTAGATAATAATTCCTTGTCCTTTTTCAGGTTTCCAGTGCGAGGAGAAGGCTTCTGTGCCTATGTAAATGGAAAAGGGGCCAGTAGTACCATATGCTCCATGGAGAAATATTTTCTCTGCAGCCAGCCAGAAAGTTGTAGAACGGCTGGATGAGACAATCTCATCAAACCAAGGTAGCGCTTGGCTTGACTAATATTCATTGGAAAAATATGTGTGTATGATACCCTCAACTTACAATCCTTCATTTAGTGACAGTTCTGAGAAGCTGAGAAGACAGCTGACTGAATGGGCCTATTTTGTGCCAGCAGAAGACTCATTTCCTCTACTGCAACTGAAGACATAACTTTCAGAGCCCCTGGTGCATGGTCAGCACCTGAATAGTGAAGGGACTGGGGCTGAGAAAATTGATGAATCAATGACAGGGGTGTGTGCCAGCCACCTTCCTGGCCGAGCTGGTTAGGCTCAAAGCAGGGACCCACATAGAGACTATTAGAGTTAAATATCCGAACTAAACTGTATTGTTTCTCCGTGTCATATATGTTGGTATATGCATAATTTTGTGTTTGTTTATTTTGTCTTTTTTTATATAAATAAATTATATTAATTTTACAATTAAAACAAACCAACAACACATTCACAAATGAAAAAAAAGAGGAGAAGAAAATAGAAAGAAAAAATAGAAAGCAATTAAAAACATTCTCATCTTCAACAGTTTGTAAGATCTCTTTTTTTTAAACCCTTAATTTATACCATATACACACACACCTAATCTTTACATATATTTGTATATCACTGTTATGGGTTTATCCTATCCTCTTTTGCCTTATAGTGTAAAATCTATCTTTGGTCTATCCATTTGTACCAGCAGTTCCAGCTATTGTAGTATGTTGAGGTGTCTTTATTTTTTAGTGCCAATGTTAGTTTGTCCATTTCTGCACAACTTGAGATTTTTTGAATGATCATTTCTTCTGATGGAACCTGAGGCTGCTTCCAACATTGGGCAAAAGCTAATCTAGCCGTTGTCAAAATGTGTATTATTATGTATTTCGCTTTTTTTTATATTTGTTTGTCAAAGATCCCTAACAAAAAGGACTCTGGTTTGTATTCGATCTGCTCTTTTGTCATTTCCTCCAGCCAAATTTTAATTTTCTGCCAATATTTTTGAGCTTCTGTACGGGACCACCACATATGGAAAAAAGTTCCCTCTTTTTTTTTGCATTTCCAGCAATTCGGACTCATATTGGAGTGCATCTTCGCTAATCTCGAAGGAGGAAGGTGCCATCTATAAAACATTTTATAGGCATTTTCTTTATATGCTACCGATTTTGTAATCTTATTGTTTCTACCCCAGACATTTTCCCATTGCGTTAAGGTGATGCTACGTCCTACATTCCTATTCCAGGCAATCATGTTCCCTTTTACAAATTCTTCTTCTAATTCGACTTCTAATAAATAATTATAATTATATTTTTTTTTGCCTGATCCTAATAAAATTTTATCTAATTGCTGGAGTTTATTGTTGATTCCGAATTCTTTCTTGTCCTGTTTGTATCTACTTTGAATTTGAAGGTATGCCCACTGATCAATTTTTTGTCCTCACTCTTGAAGTTCTTGCCTCGATTTCAAATTTCTTTGTGTATCCAATAGGTCCTTATATTTAATCATTTTAGTGATATCCAGATTATTTGGGTGGATCATCGCCTCCATTGTCGAAATCCAGATTGGTACTTTTATATAGTGTTTTTTCCGTATTTTCTTCCAATTAGTTAATAATGAGTCTCTAATTAGATGTCTGTGGAAATATTTTTGACTAGTTTTCCCTACATCCCATAAAAAAGCATGCCACCCACTCTGCAAATCATGGCCTTTTAAAAATAATATTCTCTTGTTAGTTAAATTCACCCATTCCTTCAACCATACTAAAGAGGCAGCAATATAATACAACTCCCAGTTTGGAAGTGCCAGTCCTCCCCTGCTCTTCATATCCTGCATTGCCTTTAAATTTATACTAGGTTTTTTTCCTTGCCAAATAAATTTAACAGTTATTTTGTTGAGTTCTTCAAAAAAAAAATGTGTAGTTTAATTGGGATCATCTGAAATAGATATAGAAATTTTGGAAGAATATTCATTTTAATGGCAGCGATCCTGCCTAATAATGAAAGTGGCAGCTTACCCCATGATTCTAAATCCTTCTTTACCTGTTGCATCAATTTATCATAATTATTTTCCTTGAGTGTCTTACAGTGTGTTGACAGCCATATTCCTAAGTATTTAACTTTCTTTGTCACTTGTATTTCCATAACTTCTTCTAACTCTATTTTCTATTTTTCTGTTAAATTTTTAGTCATTAATTTAGTTTTCTTCCTATAAATTTTGAGTCCTGCTACTGCTCCAAATTGTTCTAATTCATTCATCAATTTTTGTCCTCTTTCTATTGGTTCCTCAATGAAAAAAACCATATCGTCCGCAAACGCTTGCAACTTATATTCTTCTTTCTTAACCTTTAATCCTTTTATATCTGAGTTCTGTTTAATTCGCATTAATAATGTTTCTAATGATAATATGAAGAGCAGGGGTGAGAGTGGGCAGCCCTGTCTGACTCCTTTTTCTGTTTGTATTGGGCGGGTATATTCCTCATTTATTATAATATTAGCTTGTTGTGTATCAAAAATAGTTGTTATAATATTTTCAAATTTGGTGCCTAGATTCATATTATAATTTTTTTGGATTAAAAATTGCCAATTTAAATTGTCGAAGGCCTTCTCTGCATCTAAAAACATAAGTGCAATTTGTTTTTCGGGGTGAGCTTCATAAAATTCTAAGACATCTAGTACTGTTCTTAAATTGTTCCTGATTTGTCTGGTCGGGAGAAATCCATTTTGGTCTTTATGTATATGCACGTTTAGCATTCTTTTTAGTCTGCTTGCTATAATAGAAGTAAATATTTTGTAGTCAGTGCTTAACAGTGAAATCGACCTATAATTGTTTATATATCAGGGATCCGAATCCTCCTTTGGGATCAGCGAAATCAATGCCCCCCTCCATGAGTCCGGCATCCTGGCTGCCAATAAAACATCATTAAAAACTTCTACCATAAGGGGTCCAACTTGTTCTGCAATTGCCTTGTACAGCTCCCCTGGAATCCCATCTGGGCCCAGGGTTTTGTTGTTTTTCTGGTTCTCTATTGCTGATTTCAATTCCAACCAATTAATGTCTTTGTTTAATAGTTCTACCATTTCTTCTCCAATTGCTTTGTCCTACACTTCATCTAAATAGTTTCTTATTCTATCCTCATTAACATCTTCCTTTTTATATAAATCTTCGAAATACTTATGAGCAGTTTCTTTTTTCTGTTCTACCTCCTGCTGTATATCCCCCTTACCATCTATTAGCTGATATATCAATCTCTTTTCTTTCCTTTTTTTAGTTTATAAGATAGCCATCTTCCTGGCTTATTAGCATGCTTGAAATAAGTTTGTCTAGTCAAATTCAAATTTATAATTATTTTGTTCAATTCAATTCAATTTATGTTTAGCTATCATTATCTGATTTTGCAATTTTGAATCCTTTGGGGTACTCTGTAATTGAGTTTCTAATTCCTTAATTTTTTGTTGTAATTTATTTTGCTGGGCATATTTTTCCTTATTCCTCTTGGCATTATAAGAGATTGTTATACCTCTTATTACTGCCTTCATTGTATCCCAAATGTTTTGTTTCGTGGTTACTCCATTATCATTTTCCTTTAAGAAATAATTTAATTCCTCCTTGAGTTTGTTAGTATATTCTTTTACTCTTATTAATTGGGTATTTAACGTCCATCTTTTCTTTGGTATTGCCCTACCCTTCCATATTATCTGAATTGGATTATGATCTGCCCATTCATTAGGTAAAATTTCAATCTCTTTTATCTCATTTGCTATTTCCCCATTCATCCATGCCATGTCAATTCGTGTCCATATTTGATGGGGATTTGAGTAGAATGTGAATTGTTTTTTCTCGGGGTGTAATCTTCTCCATATATCAGTCAAATTTAACTCCTTCATCATTTCCCTACAAATCTTGGGAAGCTCTCTTTCCCCCCCTTTATTCTTCCCCCCATTACTGTGGTATTTTTGATAATCAGCAATAGAATTGAAATTTCCTATGATACAAATATTTCTTTTTTCCAATCCTACCATTTTTCCATAAAGATGCTTAAAAAAAACTCTTTTTGATCTCCATTCGGGGTGTAGATTACCACTAAGAGAATTGGGATGGCATTGAGCCAGATCTGCAAAACCAGAATTCTTCCCTCAGAATCTGACCATATTAACCCTGCTTTCAAATCCTCTTTAACATATACTGCAATTCCTTTCTTTTTTCCTGTGTCTGCTGGTGCGGTAAATAGCTTCCCTAATTTCAGACATTCTAAGTGTTTTTCATCTGTTTTCTTTATATGACTTTCTTGTAGGCATATTATATTGGCATTTTGTTTGATTAGTTTAGCTAGTATCCTTTTCCTTTTTATCGTTGAATTTAAACCATTTATATTAATTGATAGTAGTTTTTCTTCTTCTTCCATTTAATTAATTCTGTTTTGCTCTTTGTCTTGTAACGACTCTGTTCTCTCCTTGTGTCTGATGGTGTGTAGTTTCTTCTGTCTCCTGATGTAAATGAGTATTTCCTTGTTTTCCTACAGTTCCATCTTTATTTTTGTAACAACCGTGATCTTCCTGGGAGTTTGTTTCCAGTTCCTCCTTACTGCTCTGGTCGTCCGGACCTACCAGCCACTCATAGAATTCCTGGGCCTTTTCCATGGAATCTATTTTAATTTTCCTTTCTTTCCAAGACATCTCTTCTGGGATTAGCCATTTGAATGCAATTCTTTTCTGGTTTAAGTAAGCTGCTAAGAACTTGTAATATCGCTTTTGTTCTCTTACTCTTCTCAGTATCTGTTTGAGAATCAAGATTTCTTTACCTTTGTACGTGATTGTTCCATCTCTGGTCATTCTATAAATAATATCCCGGACACTCCTTCTCGTAAATCGTATAGGGACTTCTCTTGGGCATTTGTGGCATCTCGCATAATTAGTGCTAACCCTATAAACTTCGTCAAGCTCCCTTAAGATGTTGTCTTTGTCCTTTTCCAATAATCCAGCCAGTATTTCTGCCATTAGTTGTTCCAGGTCTTCTTCTCTGGATTCCACTACATTTTGGAA